TAGCTGGTGAATGACATTTTAGTCATTTAGCAGACACGCTTATCCAGAGCGATTAGGGTTAAGTGCATTGCTCAAGAGAACATTGGCAGAATAGTCACCTAGTCGGCTTGGGGATTCAAACCAGCAACCTTTCAGTTACTGGTCCAACGCTCTTAACCACTAGGCTACCTGCCGTGTAGTGAGCATGTTCTTCCTCTTACACTGAACAAAAATATAAACGCAGTGTGTAAAGTGTTGGTCCCATGTTTCATGAGCTGAAATAAAAGATCCCAGAAATTGTCCATACGTCCAAAAATATTATTTATCTAAAATCTTGTGCACAAATTTGTTTATATCCCTGTTGGTGTGGCATATCAAGAAGCTGATTAAACGGCATGATCATTACACAGTTACACCTTGTGCTGGGGACAATAAAAGGCCACTCTAAAATGAGCAGTTTTGTCACATAACACAATGCCACAGATGTCTCAAGTTTTGATGGAGAGTGCAATTGGCATGCTGACTGCAGCAATGTCCACCAGAGCTGTTGCCAGATAATTTAATGTTCATTTCTCTACCATAAGCCACCTCAAACATCGTTTTAGAGAATTTGTCAGTACGTCCAACCGGCCTTACAACCGCAAACCACGTATAACCACTCCAGTCCAGGCCACCTGGACAGCTGATGAAACTGTGGGTTTGCACAACCGAATAATTTATGCACAAACTGTCAGAAACAGAGACGAGATCCTGAGGTCCATTGTCGTGCCATTCATCTGCCACAATCACTTCATATTTCAGCATGATAATACACAGCCCCATGTCGCAAGGATCTGTACACAATTCCTGGAAGCTGAAAATGTCCCAGTTCTTCCATGGCCTGCATATTCCCCAGACAAGTCACCCATTGAGCATGTTTGGGATGCTCAGGATCGACGTGTATGACAGCGTGATCCAGTTCCCGCCAATATCCAGCAACTTTGCACAGCCATTGTATCACGACTCAGGATATGACCCAGATGCAGACACAGGAGGCATATGGTTCAGTTCTCAGATAATTTATTATAATGGGGGGCAGGCAAAGGGCAGGTCGAGGACAGGCAGAGGTTCGTAACCAGGTCAGAGTCCAACAGGTACAGGACGGCAGACAGGCTCAGGGTCAGGGCAGGCAGAAGTTCATAAACCAGGTTAGAATCAGGCAGGTACAGAACAGCAGGCAGGCTCAGGGCAGGCAGAAAGGTCAGAACCGGAAAGGCTAGAAACAAAAAACTAGAGAGCAGTGAAAACCAGGAAACACGCTGGGACGACCTGACAAAACAAGACGAACTGGCAACAGACAAACAGAAACACAGGTATAAATACACTGGGGATAATGAGGGGAAATGGGAGACACCTGGTGGGGGTGGAGACAAGCACAAGACAGGTGAAACAGATCAGGGTGTGACACATTGAAGAGGAGTGGGACAACGTTCCACATGCCACAATCAACAGCCTGATCAACTCTATGCAAAGGAGATGTGTCGCGCTGCATGAGGCAAATGTGGTCACACCAGATACTGACTGGTTTTCTGACCCATGACCCTACATTTTTTTTAAAGGTATATGTGACCAACAGATGCACATCTGTATTCCCAGTCATGTGAAATCCATACATTAGGGCCTAATGAATTTATTTTACTTGACTGATTTCCTTATATGAACTATAACTCAGTAATGTAAAAAAAATGTGTTGTATGTTGTGTTTATATTTGTTTCAGTGTAGCTTTCTCTATGCTGCTGCATACCTTGGCTGGCTGAAGAGAATAAAGTGTTTCCCATATTTGTCTGAGAGTGATTAATGACATCCGCAGTGTTGGATGTGTCCCTGCACGTTCTGGGATTAGACATCACTGGGCCTTCATTATATCATCAATAGATAGTACTGTACCAACATTAGGATATAGGATGTCACTGTTCTAGCAACAAAGATATAGGATGTATGAGAGATATAAAACTAGCTCAGGATTTGGAGCCCTGTTTAAGGAATAAGTATTTAATTATGGAAAGTGTGTGTGTGTGTGTGTGTGTTAGCAGGTACAGTAGCTGTATGAAGCTTAACTGTTTGTTGGCACTCCCTGCCCTCAGGAGTCCAACTCTCTCTCATCTCGCTACACTCACGCCAAGCCAAGCGCTAATAACTGGCCCTCAGGGGCCTGACACACACACACACACACACACATTCTCTCTATCTGAGCTGTTAGAAATCTGATGATCCAAGTCTACTCCAGCCTAGTCACCTCTGACAGTCTATTCTCTGTACACCTCACATCTCAGGCCAGCAGAGAGATGAACGCCATTATTTATCACAAACGATGGCTGTGTGATGTCTTGGCAGAGAGACTGGCATGGCAGACCCTGGTTATTGTACAGATGATGCTCCAAGGTCTGACGTCATGATGTCATACTGAAATAGATATAGAGTAACCAGATTTCTACCAGTGCCCAGTTGTAGTGTAAACCTCTCTAGTAATCTGAGATATATGGTAATCAGCTGTTCCAACAGATTCCTCTTCTTTGAGAGAATAGTTTGATTGACCACAGAAACATTACATCCTTTATGTAAACAACGAGGGAAAAGGAGTGGTATTATTTTTAGAATAACATTACTGTTACCAAAACCATTATCCAAAAATATCATTTTATCTGTTTACTGTAAATAAATAATAACTTGGACTTTTTAAATGTATACTTCTTTATTGATGCATACAGTATGTACAATAATAAGTTATATATACATTTACACTTGTTTCCATAAAATTGTTTTTGTTTCCATTCTTTCTAAGGTCTAGTCTGTGGAGTGTTGTGATCCTGAGGTAAGAGGACCAGGTTCTGCACATTCAGTACAGTCAGTCATCTTCTGTCACTAAACTACCTACCTAAACCACTAGCCTTCTGTTGATGCTGTGTTTGGATTGAAATGAACAAGGATAAACTAAAAGAAGCTGTTATGGATATGTGCTAAATGATGCACATTGTACATGCACACTTATGATTCATATACACTACCGGAGTCCAGCCCCTTTAAACGCGGCTAACTTGAAACACCAGAGCAGTGAAGACACACTGAGGGATGGGAGCGTGCCTCCCCAGTCACTCGACAGAAAAAGCATACATGGAGGTATAGAAAGGCACTGTTAAAACACTATAAACCAAACACTCAGGAGGCTTCTCTTGTTTCTAAAATGTCTGTAGCTCGGAGCTTATCACCATTAGCTGATACAGTGGTGTGAAGAAGTGTTTGCCCCCTTCCTGATTTGTTATTTGTTTGCATGTTTGTCACACTTAAATGTTTCAGATCATCAAACAAATGTAAATATTAGTCAAAGATAACACAAGTAAACACAAAATGCAGTTTTGAAATGAAGGTTGTTATTATCAAGGGAAAACAATATCCAAACCTACATGGCCCTGTGTGAAAAAGTGTTTGCCCCCCTGTTATAACACAACTCAACTGTGGTTTATCACACCTGAGTTAAATTCCTCTAGCCACACCCAGGCCTGATTACTGCCACACCTGTTCTCAATCAAGGAATCACTTAAATAGGACCTGCCTGACAAAGTGAAGTAGACCAAAATATCCTCAAAAGCTAGACATCATGCAGTGATCCAAAGAAATTCAGGAACAAATGAGAAAGAAAGTAATTGAGATCCATCAGTCTGTAAAAGGTTATAAAGCCATTTCTAAAGCTTTGGGACTCCAGCGAGAGCCATTATCCACAAATGGCGAAAACATGGAACAGTGGTGAACCTTCCCAGGAGTGGCCGGCCGACCAAAATTACCCCAAGAGCGCAGCGACAACTCATCCAAGAGGTCACAAAAGACCCCACAACAACATCCAAAGAGCTGCAGGCCTCACTTGCCTTAGTTAAAGTCAGTGTTCATGACTCCACCATAAGAAAGAGACTGGGCAAAAATGGCCTGCATGGCAGAGTTCCAAGACGAAAACCACTGCTGAGCAAAAATAACATTAAGGCTCGTCTCATTTTTGCCAGAAAACATCTTGATGATCCCCAAGACCTTTGGGAAAATACTCTGTGGACTGACGAGACAAAAGTTGAACTTTTTGGAAGGTGTGTGTCCCATTACATCTGGCGTAAAAGTAACACCGCATTTCAGAAAAATAACATCATACCAACAGTAAAATATGGTGGTGGTAGTGTGATGGTCTGGGCCTGTTTTGCTGCTTCAGGACCTGGAAGACTTGCTGTGATAAATGGAACCATGAATTCTGCTGTCTACCAAAAAATGAAGGAGAATGTCCGGCCATCTGTTCGTGACCTCAAGCTGAAGCGAACTTGGGGTCTGCAGCAGGACAATGATCCAAAACACACCAGCAAGTCCAGCTCTGAATGGCTGAAGAAAAACTAAATGAAGACTTTGGAGTGGCCTAGTCAAAGTCCTGACCTGAATCCTATTGAGATGCTGTGGCATGACCTTAAAAAGACAGTTCATGCTCGAAAACCCTCCAATGTTGCTGAATTACAACAATTCTGCAAAGATGAGTGGGCCAAAATTCCTCCACAGCGCTGTAAAAGACTCATTGCAAGTTATCGCAAACGCTTGATTGCAGTTGTTGCTGCTAAGGGTGGCCCAACCAGTTATTAGGTTGTAGGGAGCAATCACTTTTTCACACAGGGCCATGTGGGTTTGGATTTTGTTTTCCCTTAATAATAACCTTCATTTCAAAACTGCATTTTGTGTTTACTTGTGTTATCTTTGACTAATATTTAAATTTGTTTGATCTGAAACATTTAAGTGTGACAAACATGCAAACAAATAAGAAATCAGGAAGGAACACTTCACACCACTGTATGTGCTGAGCTTTTTGGCACAAAAAGGCTGCCATCCTGTGGCATCATCCAGCATAGCGTCAGAGCCAGGCTGACCATAGCGTAGCTCAGAGCTGGGTCTCCTGGAGTCCTGTCTCCCTGCATTCCTCAGGCTGCAGTAGGCCTAGTCTGTTAGCAGTCTCTTTAATAGTCTCTGGCATCTGGTCTTTACTGGTTCATTGGTTTTAGTGGTTAATTAGGTGCTGAAAGTCTCGACTGTAAACCACAACACTATTAGACCAGACCGCCACACACCAACCAATTAGAGCCAGTGGCAGCAGCTGACCGCTGGGGGAAGGGGAGGGTTGTGGTTAGGCGTGGTAATAGAGGGTCTGGGGCCACAGGGGTCCTGGCAGAGGTCCATCATGCCATTTTTAAAATGTCATATTATGAACTGTACAAAATGTGATCTATGTAAACAAAAATGGTAAAAAAGGTTATAAAAAGCTTTTGTCGAGGCGTCTAGCGCAAAGTTAATTGCCAGTCCATTGCCAGAGGGAGACAGAGAGACGAGAAAGAGAAGAGAGAGATCTGAAATCTGGAGAGGCCTGCAGACTTTCCTCATGTTGAGGGGTAAAGCTGTTTGTTTGTGAATGTATGTGCAGGTATGTGCACATGGGTCTATTGCATGTGTACATACACGTGTGTTCATGTGTGTATATGAGTGTGTGTGTACATTAGTATGTATGTGAGTCAGACGCTTGCACAGCGTGGTGAGGACAGAGGGACAGTGTGTGTATCTCCTCCTCCCAGTACATCAGAACACAGTGACTCCACAGCATCCAGTCTCTCTATCTGCACCAGTCTGGTGAGCAGGTCTGGGATGCTGTAGCCGGCTGTACTGATCCTCTCAAACAGCTGCAGGCCGTCACTCATCCCTCCGATCTCATCCCTCTTCAGACCAAAGCTCTCTGCCAGGTGTCTCCAGGTCTTCACCACGGCTGCCTCGCTACTGTAGGAGGAGCTCAGCATACGACTGGCCTTCTCCAGACAGTCAAATGGTAGTTCTGTAGGACTCAGACCTGTAGAGAGGAAGGGAGAGAGAGGGTTAGGATGTGTGTGTTGTGGCTAGAGGTCAGCATACAAGATTCATTCACTAGACATTCGAAGGGTAGTTCTATAGCAGGGGTGTCACACTCAATCAGCGCACGGCCATATTGAAAAAACACAACGAATTTGCTGGCCAGACAGAGCCTACTATGTTTGTTTTTACAAAATAACTGGCCATTGTTTTATTAGAAAGAATATGGACCTTTATAATGTCCACTTATGTACAAAGGATGCTGTATGTAGCATTTTAACATATTAAAACAAAAGAAGAGATAAATCATATTTGTCCAGCCTTTGCTGCTATGCTTACAGGTGTGCATAATATGCTGCGACCCTAATAAAAAAAGTAGCCTATTTAATAACCCCAAATAACAAAAACGTAGCTAGGTTGTTATAACATTTCAACTTAAAACATGTTTTAAATGTTTTTGCACTGAATGGATCACTGGTGCGGTTGAATGCAGCATTGCTGTATGGTGCACTCAAAATGTATTGTAGTTGAGTAGCCACCTAGGCTACTGTTCAAATGTTGCTGTAATAGGCCTACATGTTTCTCCTTTGCATGGGGTTTTGTAACAGATTTAGTTTTTTGGTTATTAATTGTCAAGCTTTAAAAACCGAAGCCAGACTGCAACATTTTAGTAGCACAGCTAGGACTGTGGCATGTGTCTGTACACTTTCCCTCCTCTGTAAACAGGACACACGAAAGCAGCGCAATTGACGTTGAATTCACCGATGCGATCGCTTCAGGCTGTAATTTCATAAAGTAGATGACTCAGCTGTTGACTCATTTATACTCACTTGTGTTTCCTTTAATAGTAATCCTTTATCTTATAACCTTTTGACAACCAAGATGACATTTTCTGTAGGCTACAGCAATGACCCATTGTAACCGAAACTTTGCATGGACATTTAGCCTACAACATGTTTAAACTTTCGGTCTGGTAGAAGATTCGGTCAGTGCCATTAGTGGTGATATGATACAGGGCACTGGCTGGCTGTGTGTGGGTCTGGGAGGAAGGGTGTGTGGGTCTGGGAGGAAGGGTGTGTGGGTCTGGGAGGAAGGGTGTGTGGCAATGCACTGCCGTTTGGCGTGCAGCACGTTGGCAGTGCTTGCTGTGACTTGTAATGCAGTGCATGGCGGGCTGTATTTAAGCGGGACAAAATTGATTGACAACCCAAATCATTGCGTGGGCCGGATAGAAATGTGTCACAGGCCGGATTCGGCCCGTTGGCCTTGTGTTTTAAGTTCTATAGGGCTGAAACCAGTCGAAGGACAGTTCTATAGGGCTAAAACCTGGGGGTGTACGTGTGTGTTCTCACCCTCGGCCACATTGCAGGCTCTAGCATACAGATCCAGGATCTTTTTCCTCCGGCTCTGAATCTGTAGGAAGAGACAGAGAGAAAGGTAAAGTAAGTTATAAAGTAGTTACATTGCAATACATTGTAAAAATACATAGTTGGATGTGATCTCTCTCTCACCCCTGTAGCCTTGTTGTTGTTGTTGTTATTGATGATGTTAGCATTGCTATTGCTAATCTTGTTAGCGTTGATAGGGCTGGTGGGGTTGGATCCAGTCTTATCCCTGTTGAGGAGCCCCAGGGAGAGCAGGCAGAGGTCCGGCTTGTTGCCCAGGTTCAGGAGACAGAGGCTGGGGTTAGGATCAGCTGCCCCCTGCCTCTCCAAGGCTGCCTCCTCATCACTGTCCATACTACGACTCAACAGCTGCTCGTTCTCTGATGATGCATCATTCTCACTGGGGAGGGGAGAGAAAATCAAGTTGAGTTGTCAAATCTCCATATCAGTCAGCATAATAACAGTAAGCCTTCATGACCTTTTCAACTGATATTTAGCTGTGTCTAGTTATGCTAATGTGCTGTAGCGTCAGCCTTATTGTTATACTGTGAGTAGCCTCGTGTTTTAGCTTACATATTTAGCTTCGGTTCCACAGAACACCATTGACAGTGTGTGTAACACTGGGAGTTTCTCCCAAAAACACCTTGTTGACAAAGATTCTCAGAGATGCTCACACAATAGCATTGTTTTTACATGCGTGCACGCACACACGCGCGAACACACACACACATTGTTACTCAGTCACCCTACACCCACTCTGGCAGCTAAGACAGTGAGTTAGCACATCCTCTGGAATGCAGTTAGCCACACTGTTTACCACTGCTGAGTCTAGCTAGGTGATGTAATGCTAATGTGAATGTGTGTGTTATTGTATGTGTTGACATGTGAGTTGTTCATACAGACCATATACAGTGTGTGTACATGTGACTTGTGATACTGTGTGAAACACACACATCCTCTGTGTCTATCCATGTTTACGTGAGTGTATACGTCTGTTCTTCTTGCTGTCTGTCATAACGAATAAGGCTTCATTGTCTGCGAGTGTGGGGTTGAGACAGACAGAAGAAATGAGAGAGGGGGAAAGAGAGCAGAGGACAGAGAGGGGAAGGGCGAGGAGCTGTCATCCACCTGGTGGTTTGGCTGCGCTATAGAGTAATTATCTCTCTCTCTCTTTACCCCCAATCTCTCCTCACCTCTCTTTTCCTCTATCTCAGCTACCTCACCCTCCAAAGCCACATAATCACTCTCCATGCCCATGCAAGGGGACACACACACACACACACTGTCTCCCCACTAAAAAGGCTAGCAGCGACGCTCTGCTGCAGTGACTTGTCCTGTGGTAGCTTAATTACGGGTAGATTCCGAAAAACAGATCAAAGAACCTCTGTCTGTGAGGCCCCCAGTCAACTCCTACACTGTAAAACCATGAAACATGTGACACGTTTATAACCTAAACGTCAGTGTTTAAAACTGAAACATTAGCCATTTAGAATTGCCAATAAGTGTTCTCATCTTAAACACAGGCGTTTAGAATGCAAGATTAAACATGAAAGTCAGTGTTGTCCAGTCAGTTTCCAACCAGGAGAACACCCATATCTCCTTAGTGTTCAGATTTTAACCACTAGCGTTTACTTTCCCATTGTCCTGTTTAGAATTACTTTAGTCATTAGAAATTGATGTGACTTTCAGATCAATGTTAGTAATGTCTGTCACCTTACCTACATTTCAGCACAACTGAACAGGACATTTGATTCAAGAAATATTTTAAATCGTGTGGTGTTGTTGTTACTCAACTGTGTTGAGTACATTTCTGTTAACTCCGAGTGAAAAAGACGTGGGAGGGGCCTCACTATCATATTTCCCACATGCCTTGTTGCAGGTTGATCTTTAGAATAGTTTGTTTTAATATCTATGTTTCCTCATGCATATTGATTGATTCATTTATCTTATACTATACAAAGATAAATAACTTACATTTTTTAAACCTAATCCAATCTGTAAGAGGTTGGACTTTTGCACCTGTTACTGAGATAGTTGTTCCAATTTAGATGGTTTAGGTCAGGGGTGTCAAACTCATTCCATGGAGGGCCTAGCGTCTGCTGGTTTTTAGTTTTTCCTTTCAATTAAGCCCTAGACAACCAGGTGAGGGGAGTTCCTTACTAATTAGTGAACTTAATTCATCAATCAAGTGAAAACCCGCAGAGACTCGGCCCCTCCGTGGAATGAGTTTGACACGTGGTTTAGGTAGTCTTGTTTGTTAAGTCCTTCACCATTGCAGCCATTCTGAGTGCAGGTTGTGGGTTGTAAAATATTCAAATTAATGGATATCCTCCCTCTGGCTGGATTCCAATAGGAATTACGAATCACTTCACAAACTAGCGCATTGTGACTTAGAGGTCTGATGTGGCTCATGGGCCATCATTTTCAGACCACAATGTTGAGGATAACTAGGCCATAACTAAAGGCTTTATGAAACATGTAATATGTGGTGATAAAGGGTTTACTTTTAATTCAAACACATTCACTTAGGCAGTCACTTGGTGAAGGCTTCCGGAATATAAGTTATTGAATGCAACAACCATGTCTCTGTCACTAACAAACACAGTCAAAGGTGGGTATCTCTCACATTCATTCGAAAGGCATACTGGGAAATATGCAAATACAGCTTTATACCCTACAGTGTTAAAACAACACCCCCAGTGTTTAGTGTTTAAAACCTAAACGCCTTGTGCTGAATAAACGTGTTCATGTGTTTAAAAAGTCTTACAGATAATAAACATGTTATTGTGTTTACAATCTACAGGGCCTCCTGTAGCTCAGTTGGTAGAGCATGGCGCTTGCAATGCCAGGGTTGTGGGTTCGATTCCCACGGGGGGCCAGTATGAAAAATGTGTGCACTAACTGTAAGTCTTTTTGGATAGGAGCGTCTGCTAAAATGTAAAATGTAAAAATGTGTTTTCATAGAAATTCTAAATGCCTTGACGCAGTTAAAAAGCGTTTAAAAGTGTTAAGATCCTAAACACTTGGTTTTACAGTGTACACAACCCCTACACAACACAGACATGCACAAAAACACACTTGCAGACAAGCACACACACAAACACAAATACAGACGCAAACACATGATCTTAGAGATATTGGTAACCATTGCACACCTTTTGTGTCTGTCTATTCAGTTTGTGTGTTTGATGTTTGTCATGTGCGCAGGTGATCAAGATACTTTACCTTTTGACCGTTTTCGGAGGTGTGGGTTTGAGTTTGTCAAATTCATCATTTTCAGAGAAAATTACAACGTTGTCTGAAAGAAAGAAAACATACATTTATAAAATATTTATTATTATAATTTTGTTATAATTTTGTTTATCAAACGTTATTTCTCACACAGTTTTTTTGACTCTGGTAAAAGTCAGAAATTATCGTCAAAATATTCTGGGGCACAGAGGGCCCATTATTTTCAAAATAAATAAATTAACAGGACTGTAGTGTTCAAATGTAATCACATCAACGTTTAAAGCCTGTAAGTGTCTGGCACTGTCAGCATAGATGGAGTATGCCTCAGAGGCCTCAGACTCATAGCTCCCAGCTCTACCGGAAATGTCAATCATAGAGGCTTATGAGACAGCTGCTTAATGCACACACATGCACGCACACTTTCCCAAAACATACACACACGATACAGTATGCTTTCACCAATACACAGAGAAAATGTAAACAGACATTCAGTTTTAAGAATAAAACACTTATGTTTGTGATTCTTAATTTGCAAACCTAAACACGTAGGTTTAATTCCTAAACCTAAAGGATTCCATTACCATACTGGAGGTAAAATGGTAGGCCTATGTGAGATGCCAGTAGGTGTATTATTGTGAGGTTGATTACCCCTGAAGGAGTCAGTCAGTTGTTAACATTATACTTAGTGAGAGGGGAACACTGATGACCTAGAGCTAACGCCACAGTCTAATCTAAACATTCCACCATGCTGCGCTCACTGCACACAGAATGTACACCACACACACACACACAGTGTCAAACCCACAGACACCAGGCCTGACAGACAGCCATCAGGTATGAGAATGTCTCGTTATGTTAGTCTAATAAACCAGACTATAGATTAAGCATGTCTCTTTATGTTAGTCTAATAAACCAGACTGTAGATTAAGAAAGTCTCTTTATGTTAGTCTAATAAACCAGACTATAGATTAAGAATGTCTCTTTATGTTAGTATAACAAACTAGACTTTAGATTATGCCTGAGGCCAAAGCCAGTACTGTAAGTAAAAGTTTGTGTTCTGTAGTGTGGTTTTCTGTTAACTAAGGTAGTGTGTTGTCTAGCTGTGTGTGTGTGTGTGTGTGTGTGTTGTGTAGTGTGTAGTTTCACCTGGAACATCTTTCTTATCCTCCTGTTTGTTGGTCTGAGCCTCCACAGCCTTCACCACCTGACCAGAGCAGCATGCTGTGAACACAGGGAAAGAGAGAGAGAGTTGAGTGAATGTACACACTGATTGTTACCCTGTCCTTTGGGTGTCTCTGTCTGAGTATGTGTGTGTGTGTGTGTGAGTGTTACCCTGTCCACTGGGTGGGTGTGTGTGTGTGTGTGTGTGTGTGTGTGTGTGTGAGTATGTGTGTGTGTGTGTGTGTGTGTGTGTGTTACCCTGTCTGCTGGGTGTGTGTGTGTGAGTATGTGTGTGTGTGAGAGTGTTACCCTGTCCACTGGGCTTGGCTTTGAGGATGTAGAACATGATGATGAGGACGATGGCGATGGCCATGATGAAGATGGTTGACATGGCGATGATGAGAGCGGTTGCTAGGTGACCCTGTCCTGTGGGGTCTTTGTGAAGGTGAGGGAACATGGTGGTACTGCTGGTTGAGACACTGGGGGCTTTGCCTGACAACACAGCTTTGGTAAGCATACCTGGAACACACAGATACTACACAGTTACAACACAGATACTACTTCTGTATCTGAGGGAAGCCTGTTTGTCCTTTAGTCTACAACACTGTGCCCCTCTCACCCCCTGTCACCCTTTCTAGCCTACAGAATAGTCTTCAGGTGAGTTATTGTTATTCTCTCTCTCTCTCTCTCTCTCTCTCTCTCTCTCTCTCTCTCTCTCTCTCTCCTCTCTCCCTCTCTCCCTCTCTCCCTCCCTCCCTCCCTCCCTAAGGCAGAGTTTCCCAAACTCGGACCCCAAGGGGTGGTTTTCGGCCTAACACTACACAGCTGATTCAAATAATAAACTAATAATCAGGCTTTGATCATTTCAATCAGCTGTGTAGTGTTAGGGCAAAAACCAAAATGTGCACCCCTTGGGGTCCTGAGGCCGAGTTTGGGAAACGCTGCCCTTCGGGCTTGTTGATTGTTGATCGACTGTTTTCTTCAGCTTTAATGGAGCTGTAAACTCCTGACAGATCATAAATCAACTTTTATTCCCTTGTTTTTATCAGGCATCCGGCCTAGGTCTCACACACTCACTCACACGCACACGCACACGCACACACACCACACACACCACACACACACACACACACTCTCTGTGGTCAAAGTCATCAGTGTTCTGGGTGTTTGTTTATTTTCTGTGGGTAGAATACGACCAGATCAGGAATCCTGTTTGTTTAGGGGAGCATGATTCCACATCTTAATCACTGTTCTGTTTCTCTGCTGTGACTACAGGCAGACATCAGAATAGACCAAGGCTTTCCTACAGGCAGACATCAGAATAGACCAAGGCTTTCCTACAGGCAGACATCAGAATAGACCAAGGCTTTCCTACAGGCAGACATCAGAATAGACCAAGGCTTTTCTACAGGCAGACATTAGAATAGACCAAGGCTTTCCTACAGGCAGAGATTAGAATAGACCAAGGCTTTCCTACAGGCAAACATCAGAATAGACCAAGGCTTTCCTACAGGCAGACATCAGAATAGACCAAGGCTTTCCTACAGGCAGACATCAGAATAGACCAAGGCTTTCCTACAGGCAGACATTAGAATAGACCAAGGCTTTCCTACAGGCAGACATTAGAATAGACCAAGGCTTTCCTACAGGCAGACATTAGAATAGACCAAGGCTTTCCTACAGGCAGACATTAGAATAGACCAAGGCTTTCCTACAGGGCGACATTAGAATAGACCAAGGCTTTCCTACAGGCAGACATTGGAATAGACCAAGGCTTTCAGCTTCATCTCCTATAAAGCTTCTGGACATCTTCATGCTGCTTCAGACTCTGTTTATTCACTGATCAGATCAGACTGATGAACTCTATTATTGTATGAGACTGCTGCAGTTATATTAGACGATGACCTGGGTTCAAAGTTCAAACCTGTTACAGTATATGGAGTAGATGACGGTGAACAGGGGATAGACAGATGGTATAGATATGTATAGGTGTATATAGCCTAGCGAGGCGGTCTAGACATACAGTGGGGTCCGAACTTATTGACACCCTTGATAAAGATGAGCAAAAATTACTGTTTATAAAATAAATGATTCAAATACTTAACTATATTGTATACTTACATTTTTTGTTATTATTTTATACTAATACAATTGCTCAGATAAATATATTTTGTTTAACAAGTTATACTTTGATTCTCTCAAAAAGGTGGGGGTCAAAACATTTATTATAATTTCGATGCCAAACCCACCACTGGTGTGTCACGGTTTCGGCCGAGGCTGCCTCTCTCCCTTGTTCGGGCAGGTTTCGGCGTTCGTCGTCTCCGGAATTCTAGCTGCCACCGTTGCATGTTCCATGTTTCCTGTTTGATTAGTTTTGTCTGTTAGCCACACCTGTCTTGTGTTATGTCTCATTAAGCACCCTATTTAGTTTCCTTGTTGTTAGTGTAGTGTTGTGGGTAATTGTTTCGTGTCAGGTGTTTGTGCGTTACCCGTGTTTCGGTACGCCAGTTACGATTTACGTCCTCCTCGGTTGAGGAGAGTTGTTGCGCCCTGTGTTTGTGCGCTCGTTTTGACGCCTGTGTGCGTCTGTTGGCCTCTGGCCGTTTTTGGATTATTTTGCACTCGCTAGTAAAGTCTTGTTGGACTGTACATCTGCTTCTGCGCCTGATTCCACACCTCACCATTTCTAACACCGTGGCAGAATTACACACCTTTACATGGAATCAGCAGGAGCCGAAGCAGCCCCGACGAGACTGGAGGTCCAGGTTCGGGAACAACAGGACCAGATACAGCAGATGGGGACCGCCCTGCAGGAGGTGATCACCACGCTCCGAGGCTGGGGAGCGCCTCCACCACCTCCCTCCCTGCCAGCACCATCGGCCAGTCCGCCCATTCCAGCGCCAGAACCCCGAGGAATCCGACTCTCTCTCCCGAGGGCCTACGACGGAACCGCGGCTGGGTGTCAGGGATTCCTCCTCCAGGTGGAGCTGTACCTGGCCACCGTACACCCGGCACCCTCGGGGCATGAGAGCGTGTCCGCCCTGATCTCCTGCCTGTCCGGGAAGGCGTTGGAATGGGCCAACGCGGAGTGGAGGAAGATCGACGCCGAGACTATCACCTACAACGAGTTCTCCCGCCGCTTCAAGGCAGTGTTTGACCATCCCCCGGAGGGGAAAGCGGCGGGGGAGCGTCTGGTCTTCCTCCGGCAGGGGAGGAGGAGTGCCCAAGAATTCGCTCTCGAATTCCGTACTCTAGCGGCAGATGCAGGGTGGAATGAGCGGGCCCTCGTCGATCTATACAGATGTAGCCTACGAGAGGACGTCCGTCGGGAGCTGGCTTGTAGGGACACCAGTCTCTCTTTCGACCAGCTGGTCGACATGTCCATCAGGCTGGATAACCTATTGGCCACCCGCGGACGTCCTGAGGGGGGTCCGTCCATTTCACCCTCCAGCGCCTCCGAGCCGTGTCCTATGGAGCTCGGGGGCGCTGGCGCTAGAGAGAGGAGGAGTCGGTTGGTTAGGGGGTCCATCCACTGCACCAACTGTGGTCGGGGAGGACACACCGCGGCTAGGTGCTGGGGATGGCCTCCTAGGGAGGATGACGACAGGTCCCGCACTGGGGATTCCCTCCAGGTGAGTAGGCGCCCCACTCACCCAGAGCTCACTGTTGCCCATTTTTGGATGCCTGTGCGTTTTCCACAGGTAGCACCTCATTCCCAGCATAAGGCGCTGGTAGATTCAGGCGCGACTGGGAATTTTATTGATAAAAAGTTTTGTTTAGCGTTAGGGATTCCCCTTATTTCTGTTGATGTTCCTTTCCCCGTTCATGCCCTAGATAGTCGTCCGTTGGGTACGGGCTTAATCAGGGAGGTCACGGCGCCACTTAGGATGTGTGCGCAGGGGGATCATCAGGAGATGATTCAGCTGTTCCTGATTGATTCTCCTGCGTATCCGGTGGTGCTGGGCATGCCCTGGTTGAGTACCCATAACCCAGCTATTTCGTGGCAGGAGAGGGCTCTGATGGAGTGGTCTGCTCAGTGTGTGGGTAGATGTTTGGGCGTTTCCGTAGGGGCTACCTCGGTGGAGAGTCCAAACCAGGTGCCCGCATTGCACGTTCCCCCTGAGTATGGGGATTTGGCTATTGCGTTTAGTAAGGCGAGGGCGACGCGGTTGCCACCCCATAGGCAGGGAGATTGTGCGATAGACCTCCAGGCAGGAGCTGCGCTCCCACGGAGCCATGTGTATCCTCTGTCTCAGGAGGAGAAGAAAGCTATGGAGATTTACATAGACGAATCTCTGAGACAAGGATACATACGGCCTTCCACTTCCCCTGCGTCCTCGAGTTTCTTTTTTGTGAAGAAAAAGGATGGTGGTTTGCGCCCGTGCATCGAATACCGTGGTCTCAATCAGATTACGGTGAAGTACAGTTATCCACTCCCGCTGATTGCGACCATGACTGAGTCGTTGCATGGGGCGCGTTTCTTCACTAAATTAGATCTCAGGAGCGCGTACAACTTGGTGCGCATCAGGGAGGGTGATGAATGGAAGACAGCCTTTAGTACCACCTCGGGCCATTACGAGTATCTGGTCATGACATACGGGTTGATGAACGCTCCGTCAGTTTTCCAATCATTCGTGGATGAGATCTTCAGGGACATGCAGGGGCAGGGGGTGGTTGTGTACATTGATGACATTCTCGTGTACTCGCCTACCCGTGTCGAGCATGTGGCCCTGGTGCGTAGAGTGTTGCGGAGGCTGGTGGAGCACGACCTGTATGTGAAGGCAGAGAAGTGTCTGTTTTTCCAGGAGTCGGTCTCCTTTTTGGGTTATCAGTTGTCTGCGTCAGGGGTGAAGATGGAGGTAGACCGGGTGTCGGCCGTGCGTAATTGGCAAACACCAACCACTGTGAAGGAGGTGCAGCAGTTTTTGGGGTTTGCAAATTACTACAGGAGGTTTATCCGGGGTTTTGGACAGGTGGCAGCTCCCATCACGTCTCTTTTGAAGGGGGGTCCGGTGCGTCTGCAGTGGTCGGCCGAGGCGGACAGGGCGTTTGGGAGGCTGAAGGACCTGTTTACCTCGGCCCCGGTGCTGGCGCATCCGGATCCCTCTTTGCCGTTCCAGGTAGAGGTGGACGCGTCAGAGGCCGGTTTAGGAGCCGTGCTTTCACAACGGTCTGGCGCGCCACCTAAACTCCGCCCCTGTGCTTTTTATTCTAAGAAGCTCAGTCCGGCGGAGCGGAACTATGACGTAGGGGACAGGGAGCTGTTAGCCGTGGTACAGGCTCTAAAGGTGTGGAGGCACTGGCTTGAGGGGGCTCAACACCCTTTCCTCATTTTGACGGACCACCGTAACCTGGAGTACATCCGGGCGGCGAGGAGGCTGAACCCTCGCCAGGCAAGATGGAGTATGTTCTTGACCAGGTTTACTTTTAAGATCACGTACATCCCTGGGTCACAGAATGGTAAGGCAGATGCGCTGTCTCGGCGGTATGACACGGAGGAGAGGTCCGTGGAGCCCACTCCCATACTGCCTGAGTCGTGTCTGGTGGCACCGGTAGTGTGGGAGGTCGATGCTGAACTCGAGCGGGCGTTACGCACCGACCCTAGTCCACCACAGTGCCCGGAGGGTCGGAAGTACGTTCCGCTCGAGGTTCGGGATCGATTGATCTATTGGGCTCACACGTCACCCTCCTCTGGACATCCGGGTATCGGCCGGACAGTGCACTGTCTTAGTGCCAAGTACTGGTGGCCCACGTTGGCAAGGGATGTGAGGGTTTATGTTTCCTCCTGCTCGGTGTGCGCCCAGTGTAAGGCGCCTAGACATCTGCCTAGGGGTAAGTTGCTACCCCTGCCCGTTCCACAACGACCATGGTCCCACCTCTCTGTGGACTTTATAACAGACCTTCCCCTCTCCCAAGGTAATACTACCATCCTGGTCGTTGTGGACCGGTTCTCTAAGGCCTGTCGTTTGCTCCCCATGCCGGGTCTTCCTACGGCCCTACAAACTGCCGAGGCACTGTTCACCCATGTGTTCCGGCACTACGGGGTACCCGAGGACATTGTGGCTGATCGGGGTCCCCAATTCACCTCCAGAGTCTGGAGAGCGTTTATGGAGCGTTTGGGGGTCTCGGTGAGCCTCACCTCGGGGTACCACCCGGAGAGTAATGGGCAGGTGGAACGCGTAAACCAGGATGTGGGTAGGTTTCTCAGAACATACTGCCAGGACCGGCCGGAGGAGTGGTCAAGGTACGTTCCCTGGGCCGAGATGGCCCAGAATTCCCTACGCCATTCCTCCACTAACCTAACTCCATTTCAATGTGTGTTAGGTTACCAGCCGGTTCTGGCACCCTGGCAGCAGAGCCAGATCGAGGCTCCTGCGGTGGATGAGTGGGCGCGGCGCTCGGAGGAGACTTGGAACGCTGCACACGTCCACCTGCAGCGGGCCCTCCGACGTCAGAAGGCGAGCGCTGATCTCCACCGCAGTGAGGGACCGGTGTACGCACCTGGTGATCGAGTCTGGCTCTCTACCAGAAACCTGCCCCTCCGCCTGCCCTGTCGGAAACTGGGTCGGCGGTTTGTAGGGCCATTTAAAGTCCTGAGAAGGTTGAACGAGGTATGTTATAGATTACAGCTACCTGTGGAGTATAAGTGTATTAACCCCTCGTTCCATGTGTCCCTTCTCAGGCCGGTGGTAGCGGGCCCGCTCCAAGAAAATGAGATAGGGGAGACTCCCCCGCCCCCATTGGACATCGAGGGGGCACCGGCGTACTCCGTGAGGTCCATATTGGATTCGAGACGTCGGATGGGGGGTCTTCAGTACCTAGTGGAGTGGGAGGGGTACGGTCCGGAGGAGCGGTGCTGGGTGCCGAGGAGAGACATTTTGGACCCGTCGCTCCTGACGGAATTCCATCGGGGGTATCCGACGCGCCCTGCTCCACGTCCTCCGGGTCGTCCCCGAGGCCGGAGTCGGCGCACGTCTGGAGCCGCGCGTCAAGGGGGGGGTACTGTCACGGTTTCGGCCGAGGCTGCCTCTCTCCCTTGTTCGGGCAGGTTTCGGCGTTCGTCGTCTCCGGAATTCTAGCTGCCACCGTTGCATGTTCCATGTTTCCTGTTTGATTAGTTTTGTCTGTTAGCCACACCTGTCTTGTGTTATGTCTCATTAAGCACCCTATTTAGTTTCCTTGTTGTTAGTGTAGTGTTGTGTGTAATTGTTTCGTGTCAGGTGTTTGTGCGTTACCCGTGTTTCGGTACGCCAGTTACGATTTACGTCCTCCTCGGTTGAGGAGAGTTGTTGCGCCCTGTGTTTGTGCGCTCGTTTTGACGCCTGTGTGCGTCTGTTGGCCTCTGGCCGTTTTTGGATTATTTTGCACTCGCTAGTAAAGTCTTGTTGGACTGTACATCTGCTTCTGCGCCTGATTCCACACCTCACCATTTCTAACACCGTGACATGGTGTCACGACTTCCTCCAAAGCTGCCTCCTCTCCTTGTTCGGGCAGGCTTCGGCGTTCGTCGTCACCAGCCTTCTAGCCACTGCCACTCCTCTTCTCAGCATTCCATTTGTTTTATCTTGTTTTTACACACACCTGGTTCATATTCCCTCATCAGTCCCTGTATAAGTATTCCCTCTGCCCCCCATGTCTTTGTGTATGATTGTTTCCATGTGGAGGTGTCGATAGCTCGGTGGAGCATTTTGTACTTTATCGCCGGGATATTCACCTGTGTGTTTTGTTTTTCCCAATGCGCCGTTAAGTCGCACTGTAGTTGTTTTACGTTTTGCTGTGAACCGCTGTATTGGCCGAATAAACCATTATTCTGTGATTTACACCTCCTGCGCCTGACTCCGTTCAAATCACCCGCTACAACTGGTGTGCGTGGCCAAAGAGCTCTATATTCATGTCATCTGACCAAAGCACCGTTTTTAATCCAAGTGCAAATGCTGTTTAGCAAACTCCAGGCATTTACATTTGTTGGATGACATGAAAATAGAGCTCTTTGGCCATGCACACCAGTGGTGGGTTTGGCGTCAAAATGAGAATGCATAAGCAGAAAATAACCCCATACGTACTGTAAAATATGGTGGGGGATCTTTGATGTTATGGGCCTATTTTGCTTCCACTGGTCCTGGGGCCCTTATTAAGGGCAACGGCATCATGAATTTTACCCAGTACCAGGTTGCCTCTGCCAGGAAGCTGAAACTTGGCCGCAAGTGGATCTTCCAGCAAGACAATAACCCCAAGCACACATCAAAATCCACAAATAAATGGTTAATTGGCCACAAAATCAACATTTTGGAATGGCCATCTCAGTCTCCGGACTTGAAACCCATTGAACACCTGTGGTTTGAATTGAAAAGGGCAGTCCATAAGCGTAGACGAAGGATATCAAGGATCTGGTAGGCTTCTGTATGGAGAAATGGTCAAATATTCTTCCCAATGTGTTCTCCAACTCATAAAACTTTTTAGGAAAAGGCTCAGTGCCATTATCCTCACAAGGTGAGGTATTGAAAGGTATTGGAAACAGGGGTGTCAATAATTTTGACCCTTACCTTTTTGAGAGAACACAAATATCACTTGTTAAACAAAATCTATTTCTCTGAGCAATTATATTTGTATAAGATAATATACTTTTTTGTGCATACACTATAGCTCAGTATTTTAATTATTTATTTCATACAGTCATTTTTGCTATGATCTTTATCAAGTGTCAATAATTTTGGCCCCCACTGTATATATCCTAGAGACGACAGGCTGCTGCTGAAGAGAAGCCCCAGGACAGGCAGAAACATGTTAATCATCTTTTTCATGCCTTCCAAATGTTTTAATTATTACACCGTGCAGTGCTGGGAGCTAGCTGGGAGCTAGCTGGGAGCCGTGTTAACACACACACAAGCACTAAGCTGGAAGCCAGGGTAATTTACAGATTAATTTACTTGGCGAGTGCTAGCCTGCCTTCACCCCGAGCTAGTAACGCCACGCTTCAACTACATATTTCTGGTTTGGGTATTTTCAAGACTTTTAAAAGAGTTAATTAAAATGAACCCTCACACATCTCTTCCCACCCTCTCTCCCTCCCTAACTCACTCTCTGCCTGCAATAAACAATTAGATGCTTGTTGAAAAGTGTGTGTTTGCTGGTATACACTCGTATGTTCTCACCCCTCCTCTCTCTCTCCCATCCTCCTCACAGCAGGTTCCAGTCTGTTTGAGGTTGTCATATTTCAAAACACAGTCATTAAAATGACACAATAATAATGATTTCAATTTCCGGCCAAAACAATGTGCCAGGGAGTGTTGCTTTGAGCGACGGGCACTAAAAACAATTCCTGGGGTCGAGCATCACTATGAGGAAGCAGTTCCAGACCATGGTGAGGTAACGTCATGCTGCTGCTCCCTGTGTTCTGCTCTGTCTGTCTGTGTTCATTAACTGGTCACAGCCCTCCACAGCCCTCACTCGCCTGACCTTACAGGGATCGCTCTCGGTCCCTCCCTGACTGTCTCTGACTCTCTCTGTCCTGGGTTCTGATTCTGTTTGTGTTGTGGGAACTTGTCAGGTATAAGAAAACGTACACTCTTTAGTGTTGCGCGGTGCATTCTGACACGAGTGACAGACCATCCCATACAGATTCCTGGGCCGGTTCTCCTGGATGTAATACCTGACAGAGAGGAAGCACAGAGAGAACCTTTAGAGAACAATACTGATAAATATTATGATCTTATTATATACAGAGATATGATATTAAGATATACAGAGATATATTATTAAGATACATAGAGATATGTTATTAAGATACACAGAGATATGTTATTAAGATACACAGAGATATGCTATTAAGATATACAGAGATATGTTATTAAGATACACAGAGATATGTTATTAAGATACACAGATATGTTATTAAGATATACAAAGATATGTTATTAAGATACACAGAGATATGTTATTAAGATACACAGAGATATGTTATTAAGATATACAGAGATATGTTATTAAGATACACAGAGATATGTTATTAAGATACACAGAGATATGTTATTAAGATACACAGAGATATGTTATTAAGATACACAGAGATATGTTATTAAGATACACAGTGTGAATATGTAAGTATTTGACAGGAGAAGTGTCTCAATAACAGCTGGAGGTGAAAAGGTTGAACTGATGCCCAGAAGGGAGAGAGAGGTACTGTATACCATTAGGTTAGATAGAGGTATTATTTAGCCCTAAGCTGTGACAGAGGAAGAGAAGGGAGGCTGCTTCAGAGCGTGGCGTCCTCTAGGCCTCTAGGGCAGACCGGCTATCATTAATCAGAGAGGACTATTAAACCACTTTCAATCAAACATGCACACCAGATCTCCAGGATGAAAACAAGGACCACAAAAGCATTAAACATGAGATTAAAATGGTCCTCTGTAGCTCAGCTGGTAGAGCACGGCGCTTGTAACGCCAAGGTAGTGGGTTCGATCCCCGGGACCACCCATACACAAAAATGTATGCACGCATGACTGTAAGTCGCTTTGGATAAAAGCGTCTGCTAAATGGCATATTATTATTATTATTATAAAATCCCATTCTACTAAAGATGTGTTTGGTGAGGAGTTAAGTAAAGTATGATTTAATAAAGAAGCATTTTTATTCCACCACCACAGCAGGCAGGCAGTGTTCAGTATTCCCCCAGTACAGTACAGTGAGATAGAGTATATTAAAGCAGCCAGTAATGTTGTGCAAAAACACTCTAGTCTGTATTGACTTTAAACTCAATTGAAACCCGAGAATGTCTTTGAGGTGGTACAGTCACTGAACAACATCATATGGTAGAGAGAACGAGAGGGAGAGAGAGAGAGAGAGAGAGAGAGAGAGAGAGAGAGAGAGAGAGAGAGAGAGAGAGAGAGAGAGAGAGAGAGAGAGAGGCGGGGGAGATCAGAGCATTGAGCCGGTCCTGTAACAGTTTATATCTTCTCCTGCCTCCATGTTTGTGGGTGACCAGATGGTAACTGGGTAAATGAGGCGGATAGCGTGGCCAGTGGAGGGTTAGACCAGGCTGTGGCTGTGTGTGATATGAAGACATGGGGGGGATACAGGGGAGATGTGGGAGAGAAGTGTCCTATGAGGTGGTACTGTCTTATCAACGTCACTCACTGACAGTGGTGGTATGTATGTGTGTGCATAAATGTATGGGTGTAAATTTGCATGCCTGCGTGTCTTCAAATATGTGTGTGTGTGTGTTATCTTATGTGTGTGTGTGTGTGTGTTGTCTTGTGTGTGTGTACATACCCAGGTAAGCAGGGTCCACAGTCTGCGTCACTGTCTAGTGTCCCAGGTTTGAGTACTGTAGCGCGGTACAGACCTTCGCAGTCCTTATGTCTCCTGCAGATCTCATACACTCCCTTCGAGTACTTCCCCGGCGGACACGACACACACACAAAGTCCTCATCCTTAGTCCCATAGCCACAGTTCTGCAACATCACAAACATGCAAACACACACACTTAGACATGTGTCATACACACATTACTCTCCAAACAAATGGAGATCAGTATGTTAGTATATACTAATGCTGCAGACTGTGTTCTCCTGAACCCAGGCTAGTCTTGACAGACTGTGTCTTAGACTAAAAGACATCAAATGTGATTGGTCACAAGAACAGGACATGAGTCGTTCTGAACATTTGCGTTCGGGGTGTTGGAGTAGTTTGTCTGGTGTGTGTGTGTGTCTGTGTGTCTGTACTGTAGTACATGTGGCGAGGAAGAGGAAATTGATGTTCTAGTATGAAACAAAGTGGGAGGTCATTTTAAACAGTCCCAGACGTATGCACTACTCTCAGTGGGGAGTTGTGACAACAACCAATACCCTGCATAGTCTGACAGGCAGACAGTTGTTTGATCTATTTTTATTAAAACAGTTAAAGCTCCATCCTGAAGCCAAGCTGCTGCTTGTCCTACTGACTTCATACTACAGAAACACTATATTCCTCCAACTTCCTACTTTATTGGCTTGTCCAATATATCCACTTTGATCGTCTTATAAAAGCTGGATTAATTTATCAGTAGGATTCTGTCAGGGTGGATCAGCCCAGCGTTAGATCTCCTGGCTGACTTTACTTCTGTAGGTTCATATAAACCTTCTCCAGATAAAATCCAATTTCAATAAAAGCATTTTTGTCCTGTCTCATGGTTGTGGTAAACCAGCATGTATCACTGCAGTAAAACCATCTGCTGTATCAGATCACATCAGATCTATGTGGGAGTTGAAAGAGTGCTGTTTCATGTGTGTGTGTAGTTTTGCCATGTAGCAGTGTAGCTAACTACTGGAACTACACACGACTTTTTTGCAAAAATAGAAATAAGATATGGGTGAAGTAGGCAAGAACTTCCTTCATTTTTCGACATCAGACCTGCATAATTCACACTTGAAACATCGTTAGGCTAAATTACACATTATGTTAACAGCTGACTCCTGTCACGCCCTGACTCAGGGGACGCTTAAATGTTGAGTCAGGGTGTGTATATTCTTTGTTGTGTATGTTCTATGTTGTTTTTCTAGTAGGTGTATATCTATGTTGGCCGGTGTGGTTCCCAATCAGAGGCAGCTGTCGCTCGTTGTCTCTGATTGGGGATCATACTTAGGCAGCCTATTGGCACTAGTGGGTTGTGGGATCTTGTTCCGTGTAAGGTATGTTGTGTGTGCTACCTTGGACTTCACGTTTCGTTTAGTTTGTTGTTTTGTCGTTGTGTTTATTAAGTTAAATAAACATGTACGTATATCACGCTGCGCCTTGGTCTGACCCGTCCTTCAACGAACGTGACAGAAGATCCCACCAAACGAGGACCAAGCAGCGTGCCCAGGCGGAGCGAGTAGCCATGTCACAGGTGGGCAATTTGTGGTCATGGGAAGAGATATTTGCGGGGAGAGGACCATGGGCTAAGGTAAATGCCCAGGCAGGAGAGGAGCAACGGCAAAACGGAGGAGGCCGGTCGAGGAGGAAGCCCGAGAAGCAGCCCCAATAAAATGTTGGGGGGGGGGGGGGGCACACGGCGTGGTTGGCGGAGCCTAGGGTTAGAGCAGAGCCAACTCCCCGTACTCACGCGAAGAGGCATATGACTGGGCAAGCTCTGTGTTATGCGGAGCTACGTACTGTGTCGCCAGTGCGCCGGCACAGTCCTGTACGTCCTGTGCTTGCACCACGCACGTGCCATGCGAAGATGGGCATCCAGCCAGGACGGGGTGTGCCGGCTCAACGCTCCTGGTCTCCAGTACGCCTCCTCGGTCCCGCATATCCTGCGCCAGTTCTACGAACTGTATCGCCAGTGCGCGTGCACAGCCCAGTGCGTCCTGTGCCCTCACCCCGCACGTGTAGTGCGAAAGTGGGCAGCCAGCCAGGACGGGTTGTGCCAGCTCTCCGCTCTAGACCTCCAATCCGCCTCCACAGTCCGGCCCGGCCTGTTCCTGCTCCTCGCACCAAGCCAGTGGTGCGCGTCGCCAGCCCGGCCTGTTCCTGCTCCTCGCACCAAGCCAGTGGTGCGCGTCGCCAGCCCGGCCCGGCCCGGCCTGTTTCTGCTCCTCGCACCAAGCCAGTGGTGCGCGTCGCCAGCCCGGCCCGGCCTGTTCCTGCTCCTCGCACCAAGCCAGTGGTGCGCGTCTCCAGTCCGGCCCGGCCTGTTCCTGCTCCTCGCACCAAGCCAGTGGTGCGCGTCGCCAGCCCGGCCCGGCCTGTTCCTGCTCCTCGCACCAAGCCAGTGGTGCACGTCGCTAGCCCGGCCCGGCCTGTTCCTGCTCCTCGCACCAAGCCAGTGGTGTGCGTCGCCAGCCCGGCCCGGCCTGTTCCTGCTCCTCGCACCAAGCCAGTGGTGCGCGTCGCCAGCCCGGCCTGTTCCTGCTCCTCGCACCAAGCCAGTGGTGCGCGTCGCCAGCCCGGCCCGGCCTGTTCCTGCTCCTCGCACCAAGACAGTGGTGCGCGTCGCCAGCCCGGCCCGGCCTGTTCCTGCTCCTCGCACCAAGGAAGTGGTGTACGTCGCCAGCCCGGCCCGGCCTGTTCCTGCTCCTCGCACCAAGCCAGTGGTGCGCGTCGCCAGCCCGGCCCGGCCTGTTCCTGCTCCTCGCACCAAGCCAGTGGTGCGCGTCGCCAGTCCGGCCCGGCCCATTCCTGTCCCTCGCACCAAGCCAGTGGTGCGTGTTCCTAGTCCGGTCCGGCCCGTGCCTGCTCCTCGCACCAGACCAGTGGTGCGTTTGTCCAGTCCGGCACTGCCCGTTCCACCGGTGCCTGGTCCGGCACCGGTCAGCTGCTCCACTCCGGAGCCAGAGCAGTCCGCTCCACCGGTGCCTGATCCAGTGCCGGTCAGCTGTTCCACTCCGGAGCCAGAGCAGTCCGCTCCACCGGTGCCTGATCCAGCTCCGGTCAGCTGCTCCACTCCGGAGCCAGAGCAGTCCTCTCCACCGGTGACTGATCCAGCTCCGGTCGGCTGCGCCACTCCGGAGCCAGAGCAGTCCGCTCCACCGGGGTCCAGTCCAGCTCCGGTCAGCGGCTCCACTCCGGAGCCAGAGCAGTCCGCTCCACCGGTGCCTGATCCAGCTCCGGTCAGCGGCTCCACTCCGGAGCCAGAGCAGTCCGCTCCACCGGTGCCTAGTCCAGCTCCGGTCAGCGGCTCCAGTCCAGACCATGACGTCAGCCCCTCTCCAGGTTCGGGGTCTCCCACACCAGGGTCAAGACAGGGCCTGGCATATCGTGGGAGGAAGGAAAGGGGAAGTAGCGCGCCGAGGTCCAGACCAGACCAGGGGCGCAACAGGGATGTAGCTCAGTTGATAGAGCATAGCGTTTGCAACGCCAGGGTTGTGGGTTCAATTCCCACGGGGGGCCAGTATAAGAAAATATGTATTCACTAACTGTAAGTCGCTCTGGATAAGAGCGTCTGCTAAATGACTAAAATGTAATGTAAAATGTATCACTTGTGATAAATCATAGTCGCACACCTCATGTAGCCTAGCCCATAGGCCTATATGTTTCGATAATGTTTGTATCACAACTAAAGTGGCCAAATGACTTCTTAAAATGAAGCACATTAATCTGCTTTACAACTGGTGTATAGCCTAACTGGCATACATAGGCAACGCGTGAGTTTCAGGTTTGGGGAAGATAATTTTCACCATAAAAATGCACCTTTATAATAAAGCATGACATGCATAATCGCATTTGCGGTCACTTTTGAGAATGCGGTCACTTTTGAGAATAGTGTTTTCGAACATTCACGCTTATAACCTACTGCCGTATGCGCATTGCTGAGCTTATAATGTGAAGAAATAGCCTAATAGTTTATCAATATTTTAAAGCTAAACCAATAGAATAGGTCAATTTTTGTACTATGGGGGATAATAGATTGACATAGGCTAGTGCTTTAGCTGTTCGTTTGGCCTACTCATCTTGTTGGTGTCATGACTTCCACCGAGGCTGCCTCCCCTCCTTGTTCGGGCAGGTTCCGGCGTTCAGCGTCACCAGCTTACTAGCTACTGCTGATCCATTTATCATCACTCCATTTGTCTTGTCTTCAATCACACACACCTGGTCCTTATTCCCACATTAGCCATGGTATAAGTGTTCCCTCTGCTTCCTTGTCTGTGTGGGTGATTGTTTATTGTGGAGGTTAGTGAAGCTCGGTGGAGCCCGTGTGCCTTGTATTTTCCAGTGCACCTGTTTTGTGCCCTGGAGTGTGTTTGACGCATTTCTGCGTAAACCTGTATTTTGCGGATTAAAGCCTGTTATTCTGTGATTTAACCTCCTGCGCCTGACTTCTTCAACACCACCTCATCACAGTTGGCTGATGAAAAGTAGGCTAAATGTGGACAGTTCTTCTAACATCTTCAATATGTGCCTCAGAATTCAATAAGAGGGTTGATCTGTCTGTCTTCGCTTGTAGCCTACTTCTTAGCTGTGAGAAGGACCCGATTACGTGACGGGCATTGGCTAGTAAGAATTGAGATATCTGAGAGAGCCATGTGAGTGAGAAGTGCTTCGGAGCACGGCAGCCGGGAGAAGGGAATTATAATTATTATATTCAGCCCAAGGGCACAAAAGACATGGATTTCTGGGGGGCATTACGGCCACACAAGGGTGCCATATCAGGGCTTAACATATGGACAACTCAGAGTATGCTATTCTGTTCTTCTGAAATAGACTACATTTTCTTCATATCATGTTTCTTTAGACCTGTCTAAAATAAATAATGGATTTATTGTGACGGTGTAGGCTATATTACATGGATTTATTAGACTTTTAAAATGTAGATGTTCCAAAGGTCTGCATCAGTGGCTTGTAGGTATGCGTGGAAGCCAGGAGATGCTAAACGTGTTTATGTTAATTAACAGTTAATTACCGAGAGACCGGCAGTTATTTGCTTGACAATCACCGGCTGACAAAATTTAATGACCACCACAGCCCTACTAGAAGACAGGTAGCAGAGGTCAGGGTTCACATGCACCTGACATGCTACATTATCTACTCATTACACTCAAGTAATTTAATCTCAGGAAATGTGTGTGTGTGTGTAGTTGTGTTATTTTGTTTATTCATTCATTAGTTTGTGTGTGTGCTTGTGTATCTCACCATGTGGGGCTCCTGTCCAGGTTGGCATGGTGGGCAGGGCTGGCAGCTACTGAGGGTCTGGTTGTAGAACTCAAACTCTCCACAACTACTGTACTCTGACCTGAGAGACGGAGGACAGGACACCTGAGAGAGAGAGAAGGGGGAGTGGGTTAAAAGATAAAAGCGTCATAATGTGTGCTTTATTCAGGTTGTTGGTTATGAATTAACATTCATATTTTTGTTCTGTCTTCAACTTACTACAGGATTCTATAAACACTTCATGCTGCTAAGACTGTATTTACTACAGCTTTAACCCTCCCGTTGTCCTAGGGTCAAAATGACCCGCCACTGTGTTGAACCAACTTTATTTAATTTTTATATTTTTTGGATCATTTGTGAGAAGGAGGCAGTGATACTTTCTTTAAAGTCTCACTGCCTCCTTCTCACAAATGATCCCAAAAATATAACAAATAAATAAAGTTGGTTCAATACAGTGGCGGGTCATTTTGACCCTAGGACAACGGGAGGGTTAATAAGTAATTCTAGTTCAATTCAATGAGAATATATGAATCCCCTTGGGAACCCAACTACCTCATACCCCAGTACACTGACTAAGTACCGGTACTCCTTGTATATAGCCTCTTTATTCTTATTTTATTGTTTTATTTAATTTTGTTCCTATTTAATTGTTATCTATTTGTTAATTTTCTTACTTTTTTAACTGCATTGTTAGGAAAGGGCTCCTAAGTAAGCATTTCATGGTAAAGTCTACACTTGTTGTATTTGGCGCATGTGGCAAATACAGAGGCTTGCGAAAGTATTCACCCCCTTGGCATTTTTCCTATTTTGTTGCCTTACAACCTGGAATTTTTGGGGGGTTTGTGTAATTTGATTTACACAACATGCCTACCACTTTGAAGATGCAAAACTATTTTTTATTGTGAAACAAACAAGAAATAAGACACACAAAAAAAGAACTTGAGCGTGCATAACTATTCACCCCCCCAAAGTCAATACTTTGTAGAGCCACCTTTTGCAGGATTACAGCTGCAAGTCTCTTGGGGTATGTCTCTATAAGCTTGGCACATCTAGCCACTGGGATTTTTGCCCATTCTTCAAGGCAAAACTGCTCCAGATCCTTCAAGTTGAATGGGTTCCGCTGGTGTACAGCAATCTTTAAGTCATACCACAGATTCTCAATTGGATTGAGGTCTGGGCTTTGACTAGGCCATTCCAAGACATTTAAATGTTTCCCCTTAAACCACTCGAGTGTTGCTTTAGCAGTATGCTTAGGGTCATTGTCCTGCTAGAAAGTGAACCTCCGTCCCAGTCTCAAATCTCTGGAAGACTGAAACAGGTTTCCCTCAAGAATTTCCCTGTATTTAGCGCCATCTATCATTCCTTCAATTCTGACCAGTTTCCCAGTCCCTGCCGATGGAAAAACATCTCCACAGCATGATGCTGCCACCACCATGCTTAACTGTGGGGATGGTGTTCTTCGGGTGATGAGAGGTGTTGGGTTTGCGCCAGACATAGCGTTTTCCTTGATGGCCAAAAAGCTCAATTTTAGTCTCATCTGACCAGAGTACCTTCCTCCATATGTTTGGGGAGTCTCCCACATGGCTTTTGGCGAACACCAAACGTGATTGCTTATTTTTTTCTTTAAGCAATGGCTTTTTTCTGGCCACTCTTCCGTAAAAAGCCCAGCTCTGTGGAGTGTACGGCTTAAAGTGGTCCTATGGACAGATACTCCAATCTCCGCTGTGGAGCTTTGCAGCTCTTTCAGGGTTATCTTTGGTCTCTTTGTTGCCTCTCTGATTAATGCCCTCCTTGCCTGGTCCGTGAGTTTTGGTGGGCGGGCGGCCCTCTCTTGGCAGGTTTGTTGTGGTGCCATATTCTTTAAACATTTTTATAATGGATTTAATGGTGCTCCGTGGGATGTTAAAAGTTTCTGATCTTTTTTTATAACCCAACCCTGATCTGTACTTCTCCACAACTTTGTCCCTGACCTGTTTGGAGAGCTCCTTGGTCTTCATGGTGCCGCTTGCTTGGTGGTGCCCCTTGCTGAGTGGTGTTGCAGACTCTGGGGCATTTCAGAACAGGTATATATATACTGAGATCATGTGACAGATCATGTGACACTTAGATTGCGCACAGGTGGACTTTATTTAACTAATTATGTGACTTCTGAAGGTAATTGGTTGCACCAGATCCTATTTATGGGCTTCATAGCAAAGGGGGTGAATACATATGCACGCACCACTTTTCCATTTGTAATTTTTTTGAATTTTTTGAAACAAGTTATTACTTTCATTTCACTTCACCAATTTTGACTATTTTGTGTATGTCCATTACATGAAATCCAAATAAAAATCAATTTAAATTACAAGTTGTAATGCAACAAAATCTGAAAAACGCCAAATGGTTGATCAGGTAGAGGGCATTTTTTATGCTGCGGGCGGGAGCAGGAGGTCAGACATACAACTTCAGGATATAATTTTTTTTGTCCTGCTGATTTTAAAACGAGTGTCTTTCTATTTTGTTGGTCATTATATTCAAGGCTATAAAGTCACCTTTGTTACATTATTCACACGTAAGTCTTGCTTGCGCAGCTTCATTGTTCGTTAATTCCTCTCCTCTCCCCAGCTTGGGCCACCATGGGTGTGTGTGTATGGCGAATGGAGGCTGCCTGCGCGCTGTGATGGCCAGTGCGTGGCGAGCTGATTAATAATAATAAGTATTTAATTATAACGAAGGCTTTTAAACTTGTTTTCATTAGAATAGGATTTTTTGGTGTCCGAGTTAATTTTACACTGCTCCTTATCATTTATCGCCCTCCAGGTTCCCTTGGAGAGTTCATCAATGAGCTTGACCCCTTGATAAGTTCCTTTCCTGAGGATGGCTCACCCCTCACAGTTCTGGGTGACTTTAACCTCCCTACGTCTACCTTTGACTCATTTCTCTCTGCCTCCTTCTTTCCACTCCTCTCCTCTTTTGACCTCACCCTCTCACCGTCCCCCCCTACTCACAAGGCAGGCAATACGCTTGACCTCATCTTTACTAGATGCTGTTCTTCTACTAATCTCACTGCAACTCCCCTCCATGTCTCCGACCACTACTTTGTATCCTTTTCTCTCTCGCTCTCCTCCAACACTACTCACTCTGCCTCTACTCAGATGGTAATGCGCCGTCGCAACCTTCGCTCTCTCTCTCCCGCTATTCTCTCCTCTTCCATCCTATCATCTCTTCCCTCTGCTCAATCCTTCTCCCTCCAATCTCCTGATTCTGCCTCCTCAACCCTCCTCTCCTCCCTTTCTGCATCCTTTGACTCTCTATGTCCCCTATCCTCCCGGCCGGCTCGGTCCTCCCCTCCTGCTCCGTGGCTTGACAACTCATTGCGAGTTCACAGAACAGGGCTCCGGGCAGCCGAGCGGAAATGGAGGAAAACTAGACTCCCTGCGGACCTGGCATCTTTTCACTCCCTCCTCTCTACATTTTCTTCCTCTGTTTCTGCTGCTAAAGCCACTTTCTACCACTCTAAATTCCAAGCATCTGCCTCTAACCCTAGGAAGCTCTTTGCCACCTTCTCCTCCCTGCTGAATCCTCCTCCCCCCCCTCCTCCCTCTCTGTGGATGACTTCGTCAACCATTTTGAAAAGAAGGTTGACGATATCCGATCCTTGTTTGTTAAGTCAAATGACACTGCTGGTCCTGCTCACACTGCCCTACCCTATGCTTTGACTTCTTTCTCCCCTCTCTCTCCAGATGAAATCTTGTGACTTGTGACGGCCGGCCGCCCAACAACCTGCCCGCTTGACCCTATCCCCTCCTCTCTTCTCCAGACCATTTCCGGTGACCTTCTCCCTTACCTCACCTCGCTCATCAACTCATCCTTGACCGCTGGCTATGTCCCTTCCATCTTCAAGAGAGCGAGAGTTGCACCCCTTCTCAAAAAAACTACACTCGATCCCTCCGATGTCAACAACTACAGACCAGTATCCCTTCTTTCTTTTCTCTCCAAAACTCTTGAGCGTGCCAAAACTCTTTAGCCAACTCTCTTGCTATCTCTCTCAGAATGACCTTCTTGATCCAAACCAGTCAGGTTTCAAGACTGGTCATTCAACTGAGACTGCTCTTCTCTGTGTCACGGAGGCTCTCCGCACTGCTAAAGCTAACTCTCTCTCCTCTGCTCTTGTCCTTCTAGACCTGTCTGCTGCCTTTGATACTGTGAACCATCAGATCCTCCTCTCCACCCTCTCCGAGTTGGGCATCTCCGGCGCGGCTCACTCCTGGATTGCGTCCTACCTGACAGGTCGCTCCTACCAAGTGGCGTGGCGAGAATCTGTCTCCGCACCACGTGCTCTCACCACTGGTGTCCCCCAGGGCTCAGTTCTAGGCCCTCTCCTATTCTCGCTATACACCAAGTCACTTGGCTCTGTCATATCCTCACATGGCCTCTCCTATCATTGCTACGCAGATGACACACAACTAATCTTCTCCTTTCCCCCTTCTGATAACCAGGTGGCGAATCGCATCTCTGCATGTCTGGCAGACATATCAGTGTGGTTGACGGATCACCACCTCAAGCTGAACCTCGGCAAGAAGGAGCTGCTCTTCCTCCCGGAGAAGGACTGCCCGTTCCATGATCTCGCCATCACGGTTGACAACTCCGTTGTGTCCTCCTCCCAGAGTGCAAAGAGCCTTGGCGTGACCCTGGACAACACCCTGTCATTCTCCGCTAACATCAAGGCGATGACCCGATCCTGTAGGTTCATGCTCTACAACATTCGGAGAGTACGACCCTGCTTTACAAAGGAAGCGGCACAGGTCCTAATCCAGGCACTTGTCATCTCCCGTCTGGATTACTGCAACTCGCTGTTGGCTGGGCTCCCTGCCTGTGCCATTAAAACCCTACAACTCATCCAGAATGCCGCAGCCCGTCTGGTGTTCAACCTTCCCAAGTTCTCTCACGTCACCCCGCTCCTCTGCACACTCCACTGGCTTCCAGTTGAAGCTCGCATCTGCTACAAGACCATGGTGCTTGCCTACGGAGCTGTGAGGGGAACGGCACCTCCGTACCTTCAGGCTCTGATCAGTCCCTACACCCAAACGAGGGCATTGCGTTCATCCACCTCTGGCCTGCTG